ACCCACCATTTACACCAACCCTCCCTTGCCATTGGCCCCTCACAACCCATCCCCCACTGGCCTCTGTGGTCACTCGAACCTGGCACTTCTCTTACCTTCCCAATTAAGGATGCGAATTGGTCGTTGAGGATTTTCATCTCGTCTTTCTCCTGCTTCTTCCTCTCCTGGAAGGTGGGGTCCAGGTCTAGGCGCAGCGGCGTCAAGAGCTTCTTGTTGATGAAGACGGACGGGCAAGAGGAAGACGTGTATCCACCAAGACTCGAGGTGCTGAAGCTTCTGCTGGCTGGACCACCCGGGCTGCTGCAGCCGTCGTATTCAGAGGACGTCACCACCGAGCTCCCCCTGTTCTGATTCCATGACGCCTGCCAAGACGAGAGCGAGCTGCTGCTGAATTCGTTGGGGCGGCTGGTCATCCTGGCTCGGCCGGTGGCGGGGAGGTAGGGGAAGGTGTATGAACTAAGCTGCCTGCTGCGGCCGGGAAAGAGAAGTGGCACCTTGGAGAATATGGTCTGTTTAATTCCTGCCTCCACTGAGCTGGGGTTAGCTAATGCATTACAAACACCTGCTCTGCTATGTTCATAAAATGAGAAGGGCGTGACCGTTGAGGTAATCCAGATCAACCTGTTGGCTTTTTTGGTTTTGTTTGTTTACGTTCCCGCCTTTCATGTTGAGCTTGTTTGATTGGTGAGCGAGCACATATGCCCTGACACTCACAGGGAAATTAAATCACTCGCACCCACGTGCCCCGAGCAGCCGGCTTCCTCAACCTTAAATGGTGAAGAAACAAACCAGTGGCACAAGGATCTGCCTCCCTCATACAAAGTGGATAGGTATGTCATTAAGGTAATGGGCAATGATTCACGAGATGGTGGTTTAATTCCCAACTCTACCCCAGGCTTTCTGAGGAGACCAGCAATTTTGGGTGGCCGGCGGGAGGTACCGACAAAGGTCTGGTTTTCAGAGGGCAGGCGCTCAGCACGTTCTAAAAATGAGACCCTTTTGAGATGTCTTAAGTCAGGCACCTAACATTTAAGGCATGTAAAATCACAAGTCATCAGAGACAATTGTAGCCCCTCTGTGACCTTGGGTATGAATAGGGTG